CTGAAAACTTTTCAAGACTCCCAGTATCTACCCATTTAGGTACAGTTTCCTCAGCAGGGCATTACAGCTTTCCATATACTAACTCAATCCAATTTTTCCAGGCATTCCGTCCCCCGACTACCTGCACACCAGGTAAGTTGTTCTCTGTGCACCTTATATGTCCTGCCCCAGCGCCCTCACTCATGCTGCTCCACCTGGAACACCCTTCATCTCTCTCCCAGGCCCCTACCCAGCCCTCTGGACCATCTCAGATGACGTTGGCTGCCCCTCTCCCCCGGCATTCCCACTGCATTGTGTTATAACGCCACTGCGTGGTTTACACACGGTCCACCTTGAGTTTAGCTGCCTCTGTGCTGGTCACCCTCTACCCGATGGTGAATTCCCTGTGGGCAGAGACAGTCCCTCCCACTCGGGGTCTCCAGCGTGTTCCAGGTCAGGCCTTGCCTTCAGTTCTGTCACTGAATACAACACGAATCTGCCTGCCCCAGCCGGTGCATCTTCTAGAAAGCACCCCCCTGCCCGTCCCCCCTCCTTCTCCATCACCCTACAAGAGGACAAATATCCTCACTCCTCATTCGTCACTCACACAGGTCCCGGCAGCGAGACTGGTGGCCCTTAATTTAAACGCAGCCACCATGTTGTGTGCACACCTGAGCCCTTTACCCACCACCTGCCAGCCTCCTCTGCTTCCGTCAGAAGCCACTGGGTCACAAGCCACACTACCCTTTGGCAGCAGAAATGCCCAGATATTAGTTCTCAGAGACCTTCGAAAGCGGTCAGGTGTGCTGTACCTGTAATTTCCATGAAGTATTTCCACAAGTCTGGAAAAATCCCATCAGCAGTGGGTGCAAGTCTTTCCTGTTACTAATAATCCCTCTGAATTCCCAATAAACTACAGGTGTCTACCAGCGCCTACGCCCCGTAATGCTCCCTGGTTCTCAATCTCTTTGAAATCCCTCCAGCAGTATATCCAAAGCAAACCTCTTACCAGGCCTCCAAACAGGGCCTGTGAGAGATGGTCAAGAAAGACAAAATGGCAGGCACGTGGCCATGATGGCCGACCTCATAGAAGATATGTCTTTGGAACAATTTTCTAGAAGCCGGAGGTCTTTATGAAGCTCCCACAACCCTGCACATCCCCTGGACCCCGATCCAAGTTCTAAACCCAAATTCACAGGTCACTCGCACCCCACTGCACCGCCCAACCCCATTTTATATACATCATCTAGGTTAGGGAGCTAGCTCTTGGGTCCCAATCAGAAGTTCCTTTTTCAGAAGGAGAAAAGCATAAACCTCCCCCCTGAGCACGTCACCTCTGGCAGACGGATGTCACCAGCCTTCACGACCCAACCTCTGATGAAGTTGGCTGTGTCTGCAGCCAGGCCCCCACCAGCCCGGGCACCTTGGGAGCCTCTCCTACAGTCCAGGAGCCCTCTGCTCCACCTGGCATAGAAGCCTTCACAGTTGACCACATCACGTCTGTCCCAGCCCACCTTGTTGCTGAGGGCTGGGAGCCCAGGCTGCCCCTCAGCCCGCGCCTTACCTTGTTCCGGCAAGGTTGGCGCTGGCCTGGCAGTGCAGAGTGCGGCTGTGACCAGCACAGCCCAGAACAGGAGACACTTCCAGCTCCACATCCCAGTTCTGCAGTTAGAGGTTGGTGACAAGGCTCCACACCTCCATGGAGACTCTGCCGTGGGCTTGATCCTCCTGTGCAAGCTGACTCTGGGGAGAGAAAAAAAAAAAAAACCCAAAATTAGGAGGGTCTGCATGGGGGACGAGGGGCAAGGAGAAAAAGAGGGAAGGCATATCACATGGCCACCCTGTCCAGAAGAGTGCCTGAAGCAATAACTTACTCCTTCAGACACAAGAAAGGAACTGTGGTCCTGTCCCAACAGTGAATTCAAGGTTATGCGCCTTAATTAGACCAAGGAGTGGTTCAATTCAGTCCTACAACTATTTATTGAGTGTGGACTGTTTCCCATGTTGGGAAAATCATCAGAAAGTTCCCGAGGCATGAGCCCCAAGATCATTTGTGCTGGGAAAGTGAACGGCCTCAGGAACGTCTCCCATAGGTGACCTGGGTGTGCAGATGTGACCTCTCCCAGTTTAAGACTTCACTCCCTCTAGGGCACACCAACCCTTCGTTGAGGGATAAAGAGAGATGAGGAATTATGGAAGAAGCCCAGAACTGGGAAATAGGAGCCAGGTGAGATGCTGACCCTCTCTGCACCTATGTGATGAGGAAGCTGAAATACGCCATCTCCAAGGTTCTTTCTTTTTGTGTCTAAAACTGGATGCATCACAGGGACCTCTGGTTCTACCAGCTTCCCTCACAGAGAGAACACAACTCTCACCAGCTACATAAAACGGGCCTCTGAGTAGGGAGCCGTGAGCTGGATCCAGTTCTCCCCGAGGCTGAGAGGTGACGGCAGATGTCCAACAGAAATGGATCCAGAAGTGGGGAAAGGTCGTGCTGAAGAATAAGGGTTCTTGCAAGGCCTGACTCAAAGATGGCTTGTGCCAGCCCCGGTGAAAGGCACAGACTGCGGTCCTTTATCCTTCTCAGGTCCGAATGGGTAAAATTTAAAACAACCCTCCAAGGTCTTCAGGATAATGGTCTTTTCCGCTAAACATTTACCAAGTGATAAGACTTTCTGGGCACCGTTTGGGCTATGAGGGGGTGACCCTCTCTGTCTTCCAGGTGGCTTTTGCCCTAAATACTCCAGGGAACCATGCAAGTTATTCAGAGAATCCACTTCCCCGGACCATGCCCTAATGTGGTGCTTCAGCCGGGCCTCCCCCTGAGCCAGACAGGGCCCCTTGTGAGTGAGTCAGGCGCGGCTGGCAGAAAACCCCCCAGATTCTTGGCCTCGTTCACAAGCGCCTGCCAGCGGGAAGACGCATGCACTGCCGCTGCTAGCTCCCTCCCAAGGCTTTCCTCAAATTTTTTAATGATTTCAAATCAAAGGAGAAGTAAACACTTCTATTTTTCTAAATTTAGGAAAGGGACTAGACAAGGCAGAATCGAACAAGTATTTACTGAATACTCACTACGTGCCAAGCATGGACTAGGTAAGATTTTAAACTATAAAACTTCATTTCCTCCCCACTGTGAACTTAAAGGGAGGGGTGGGAATTATTACTGCCCTTTAAGCAACGGGGAAACTGAGACGCAAAGAGGTTAAGTGCTTTGCCCAAAGATGTGCAGTGAGATGGCAAGGGCACCGGGTCTACATCACCTGGGCTTTCGGATGCCAGAGACCAGGGTGGGAGGAAGCAATAAGGGGGTGATCAAACCTGGCTCTACCGGACGCAAGCTCATTTTCTCCAGAGGGCATCCCTGTATCACACAAAGTCATGTGAATGAGGACAGATCCGAGGTGACTCTGGCAATGGGAGAGGCTTTGATTCTCCTTTCCTTTGCTCTAGAGAAAGACCCTTGGAAGTACCTCATGGATATGCCATCTAGGACACAGGATGGGGCACGATTCCCGGCCGAGGATAGATGCTTGCCAGAGGACATTCAAAAACCACATTCCACATCTCATTACATCCCAAAGATACAGCAAATGGATGCAGGCCAGTCACCGAGAAAGGTACACCTGACTAAGGACCTAAGTAAATCCCATAGTAATGGCCAGAGTCATGAATGAATTTTTAGTATCCAACAGGAAAGGGTGGTATCATCTCGAGATGATGAAGCTTGTTTGCAAAGGTAGCAGGCAGGCAGCTCCCACCACCACTCGGCCGCTCTGTCCCCTGAAAAGCCTGTCTACCACCTTGCAGGTGTGGACTGGCTGCTGACTGCCCTCTTTCAGCTCTGTGATCAATGCACTTCAAAATAATCTGGCAGCTTCCCTGCAAAAGTCTCTTCCTCCCCCCCCCCCCCCCCCGCCTTGAGTTCCACATCTGTAAAACAAAGGATGTTCAGAAAACCCAGCCCCCCCCAGCCCCCAGGCACCCACTCCTGGAATGAGAAGGGGTAAGCGGGCTCACAACCTATTGTGGAAAACACTGTGACACGAACTAGTCCCCAGACTATCTGGGACCCTAGGGGCTGCCACCTCCCCCTTCACCTCGCCTTCTTCCCATCCTACTAATTAATGAATTCTTTAAGTCTCTTAGGAACAGTCTCCTTCCTCCACTGCCTGACAGATGTGACCTGTAGCCCTGCAGGTGCACACAGCAGCCGGCCCCTCAGCCTCTCCCCATCAGTCACGTCTCCTGGGACTGGCAGCCCAGCTCCTGCTCTGGGTGCAGAGGTCCTCACTGGGGAATGAGGAGAGTTGGGGGACACACGCCATCTCACTTATGCCACTTGTCATCAGAGGGAGCTAAAATAGTTGCCTTGCCTACACCACAGGAGGTTACCAGCTTCAAATGGGGGGCATGGGTGAAAGTATCTGCTCTCTCCTCTCTAAAGCCCTAATCAAATGTAAGGAATTATATATAAACATTGTGCTTTGAGTCACTTCTTGATAGCAATCTCAGGAGACTTTGGTAATTGGCAACCGGAGGACATGAACTTCCTGCCTTTACAAAGGCATTTCTCACCATCCATCTTTACAAACCCCACACTCTAGACCTAGCTGTCCCATTAGGTGGCCCCTCGTGGCTATGGAGCACTTGAAATGTGGCCAGCGCGAGGCAGGATGTGCTAGAAATGAAAAATACATACAAGAATGTGGAGCCTTTCATTGATTTTTCTGAAACTGATTACATGTTCAAAAGATAATATTCCACATATACTGGGCTAAAGCAAATACATTATAAAAACTGAAACAGACGAATTAAGGAAAATGAATTTCACCTGTTCCCTTTTTCTTAATTTCAAACGTGGCTACTGGGCTTCGCTGGTGGCGCAGTGGTTGGGAGTCTGCCTGCCGATGCAGGGGACACGGGTTCGTGCCCCGGTCCGGGAAGATCCCACATGCTGCGGGGCGGCTGGGCCCGTAAGCCATGGCCGCTGAGCCTGCGCGTCCGGAGCCTGTGCTCCGCGACGGGGCAGGCCACAACAGTGAGAGGCCCGCGTACCACAAAAAACCCCCAAAAACGTGGCTACTGGAAAAATCTGAGATTCCATGTGCCCTGTGTTACATTGTAGGGGACAGGACAGCTCTGGGCAACCTCCGTGCCCTGCCAAGCTTTTCTGCTTTGCCCTTCCTCTGTCTTCAGCGGGCTCTCTCATTCGCCGAGCCCCACCTCAAACAGCCACGTCCTTACAAGTCTTTCCTGGGCCTTGGGAGGATCCTCTGAATTTCCAAAAACACCATAGGGTCTCAAGCTCCTTAAGAGCAGGGTCTATACCCAATTAACCTTTGTCAATGACCTTAGCACCTAACACCTACACAGCAGATGCTGGTACATTTGGGAACGGGATGCATAAATGAATGAAACAAAGAGAGGCCGATGGAAACGAAACTGACAGAGCCACGCTTGCAGAGAAGAGGTTGACAATGCCAGAGGAGATCGTCCAGCACTCCTTGTTAGCCAGCCAAACTCGATTTCAAAGCATACCAACCCGGACATTTTCTAAACATCTCGATTCCTCAGACTTGAGGAAGTGACGCCAAAACTTTAATCCCTTTAGACGGGAGTAAGACTTCTTAACAGAAATGGTGGCTTTCCCCAAAAGTGACCAACAATGAGCATCCCTACTCATTGGTGAGAGTGGCAGGACAAGTTCTTAACAAACATCTGAAAAAAACACATGCAGCTCAGCTTGGGAAATTGTACCAGTTCCAAGAGAAACGCTAATTTAAAAGTTTTTAGTCTCTGTCAAAAACAGTGCCCCAATGTCCTTGGGAGTGAGGTATGTAAAAAGTGAGTAGTAATAAGAGAAACCCTAACTGCTCCACAGTAATCTAGGCAGCCTTGCTCCTGAAGACAGAATGGGCTTGTGGACCATCACATGCTTGGAGGTGTTCACCCAGGTGAGGGCTATTTACTTGGAGCCCAAACATGGCTTTTTTAATTGCAAGTGGAATGGTGATGAGGAGAGAATTTCTAAGGGAGATGCAAGCTTAGGGAGAAAAGCAACTCTCCTAGCCCACGTCTGGTTTTTAATCCTCTCAGGAAACCCCAGAACCTTCTCTGAAGTTCTGCATCTGGACTCCCACCAGTCCCGGGTTCACTCAGACCTCTCCCAAAGGTCTTGGGATGAAATATGCAAGACGTATTTCCCAAGAGGAAATTAAGCTCCTCTCAAGTGATGTGAGGTCCTTTCAGAGCAAGATGTTTGGACCCCTTCTCTCTACCTTCTTTTCCTTCAGCAGCAACAGGCTCAAACTTTCCTAGGAAGCTCTTAACTAACAGCCATTTTGATGAGACAGATTAAACAATGGAGGCCCGAAGGAAGCATTCAGAGGCTGCTGAAAGCCCCAGCTCACAGGAGCAAATCTCCTGTTTTAGGGGTCTCGCTCCAGGTCGACACCCAAAAGCAAACAAAGCAAAATCTCATGGCCTTTTCTCGGTCTCCATGGCTGGAGTCTACCTACTCGATGCTCAACTTAGTTCTCCTAGCCTCCGGAGTGCACCAGGAACAAAGCTGGGCCAGGCTTAGGGATGCCTGGAGATGCTCTGATCGTCTTCCTCAAGGCGGGGTGGGGTCATAGCAACCACCAGGCTCCTTCTCAATGTCTTCCCGTGCTTCTGCTTCACTTGCTCTTCTAAGGGTGCCTAACGGAACTTTCTCACATCCTCCATGGCCAGGAGCCAG